CTGTCAAGGGCCCCTTAACAGGTGCCCTGCCCCTTGGTCACCATCTTGGAACCAATCTCTCAATATCTTGGGACTAATGTTAGCCAGCACCGGTGGGGCCCAGACTGGGGCGCAGGCTGGCAGGGGTCTGTGCAGCCGGGCTGGGCTGCACCAGCAGGGAGAGGGGGGAGCTGGCCCAGCTCCATAGAACCCCTGCCAGCCGGGACCCTGTACCCCTGCTGCCCTGCTCTGGGCCCTGCTAGCACTGGCCCCAGGACACTGGTGTACTCCCCATGCTCCTGTTCACTCCCAATACCCCCAGCCCCACAGTACAGGCAGGGGGCAGCACACAGCCCCAACCCCCTGCTCACCTGCAAGGAATGAGCTGGTGCTGAGTGTGATGGAAAGTGGCCCCTCGCCCGCCCCATGGCCAGCACTCCCTTCTGCAGCTGCTTGCAGTCCACGCGGGGCTGTCCTGAGCAGGCACAGGCAGCACTATGTGGGCTGTGAGCAGCTGCAGCGTGGAGTGCCAGGCACAGGGCGGGCAAGTGGCTGCTTTTCCCATGCTCAGCAGCAGCTTGTAACCCACCCCTGCTGCCAGCCTGGGCCCCACGCTGGCTCTGGGATCACCTGTAGGGCTGCGCTGCAGTGGCAGCAGTTGCACCCCCCTGCTTGCCGCGCCAGGCAGTGTTTGCCATTGTCTCTGTGCTGCCCAGCACATGAGCTCCGGGTGGGCAGCAGCAGCAAACACTGCCTGGAGTGGTAAGTTGGGAGGCCCACAGCTGCTGCTGCCGTGCGTCGCCCCCACCCCCTCCCCTGAAGTTCTGGTGCGGTGCACTTGCATGGTCCCAGGCCAGGAGCCCCTGCTGGGGCTTCTGGCTGGGGGGGCGGGGCCAGGCATGCCCTGCTGTTGAGGGAGCCCACCAGGCTTCCCCTGGGCCCTACTGCCCCTGGTTTCTGTTATTTTTGACAGGAACCAAGGAGAGATCAATATTAATTTTCTAAATTTTTTTAGGGGCCTCCATGGGCTGGATAGAATGGCCTCATGGGCTGTATTTTGCCCAACCCTGGACTAGCAGGCTGGAAGCTTTCACCTTGCTGTGCCTTATTACACACAGTGTCACCCATATTACAAGTTTTGCTTGTCCGCAGCTTGAGGTACAGTTTCCCCCAAACCCCTGCACCCATCTCCTTGAAACCTGGCAGGCTTTATGGACTCAGCAGGGGCTACTATCCCTGCAGTTTTCACCCCCCTGTGCCTTAACACACACACACAGTGTCACCTATGTCATGAGTTTTGCTTTCAGGATGTTGAGGTGCAGTTTCCCAGAAACCCCTCCACCTATCATCTTGAAACTTGTCACATGTCATGCTATCAGTAGAGGCTATCATCCCTGCAAGTTTCATCTGAATAACCCAAGAGACAATGAAGTTATAGATATTTAATTGATTCCCCATTATACTCTATGGCCGAATCTCCAAATCGGCTCTGAATCTTCTGGAGCAATTCGGCTGAATCGAATTGGAGAAATGATTTGCATCTCCAACTCGAATCTCTGGCACCCAAATTGGCTGAATCCAAATCTAATAGTTTCCTGTTTGCACAGGCCTACCCTTTACATAACCTGCTATTCAGCTCCCTGCTTCCTGCACTGTGATCCCTAACTGAGCTGCTGCTCTGAGTTCTGCTCCCTGTCAGGACAGAAAGCAGAGCATCAGATCAATCAGCCCCTGTACTCTGTCTGCTGTGCCACACACAGGCTGCCCATGCTACCTGTGGCACCCATGCCACAGGTTATACGCCCCTGCCTTAGAAGAAAATAAGTCCCATAAACCAGTAGCATTAATTGAGGGGGGGGGGCATCTCTCCTGGCTCCAAAGGCTAAGAACTTACAATATAAGGGGCAAGTGACACTTGAAACATGAGAGGATTCAAATATAGACCCTGATTCTGCAAACACTTGCTTAACTTGAATATAATAAGTAATCCAGTTCCAAGTGTTTGCAGGATCGGAGTCCACATGCAAATAAGAGGCAGTTGGGGATATTTGATGTGTTATCCATTGTTAAGAAATGAGTGATTAGCACATTATTATTTTATCTTACTCAAGCAAAATGAGTTAGCTGTCCCCATCAGACCTTCCAGGTAGACATTGTAAATTGATTGTTTTTTATAGTGATCTTTGCAGTGGTAGGAGGGGATCTTGAAAAGTTATAACGACGGAAGAGATGTGATAGTGTTAGGAACCAGGAAAAGAATCCTGGATGCTAGCCCTGATCTCGAAAGGATTTATATGTTTTCTTAAACATATGTACTGGGAATGTGCTTAACTTGACAAGCTGTGTACTTTATTTAAGCCTCTGCCTAAGTCTGTGCTGGATCAGGGCCATGAAGGGCAACATGGGACAAAGCAGAAAGGTCTTTTCATGAGTATGACACATGTGGCACAGTTAGTGACAGAGGTAGGGCTGGAGCAAAGTGGTAAAAATTGCACTGGAGCATGTAAAAACAATGTTTGTTTTTAAAAGTTCAAACTCTTTAGTCCAGCGGTTCAAAATTTACCATAAGCCAAAAATAACAAAAAAACAGCATATTTCCAGCTCCGCCTTTACTAATCTTCAGATCCATCCTCAACCATAAAAGGCAGAACTTCAAATCCAATGGAAGTTTAGAAACATTTCACCAACTGTTTTGCCAGTTAGAATGCAGATGTTTAGCCAAAATTGTTAAGACATGAGTTATTTCTACACTGACTTTATACAGATCAAGCCCACATTTTGTGTTTTTTTTTTTGTCTGAGCAGCATAATGAAAAGCATTAAAAAGTTATCAAGAAGTATAGAACTTGGCGGGGGGGTGGGGAATAGAGTGCATCTTTAAACTATTAGTTGCAAAAATGTGTCTACTTTGTCTTTCAAGCTATAAAAATGTATCCATAATATCTGCCTTATTCTGCTTGCTGTTGCTTCATTTATAAGCTGTCCGTCTCTGAAGTGGACAAACTAATCACACTTCAGATTCCTGGCACCAAATCTCCACTGCTGTAGCCTCATTTGTTTTTTGTTTGTTTGTTTTTGTGTGTGTGTGTTTTCCCCCTCTAATATCATTAAGTAGAAGCTGTCTCTCTACATTAAAAAGAAAATGGTTCTTTAAATTTTTGTGTGTGTAATTTTTTTTCACTATTTGCAATGTTTTGATTTTTTTCAACAACAACAAAAAGAATACAATTTTAGTAAAATAGTTCCAGTATTTTTCTGTTAAATGTTCACGTTTGGGATAAAAATATTTTGGGGTTCTGTTGCTTGAATGCTGGATACGTTTACTAACATACACAGGTGTTAAAGATTTTTTTTTTTAATGGGAGCATTTTGGGGTTCAGTTTTGTAACCAAAAATAAACATTTTTTTTTTATGGATAATGTTCCATGAAAAATAATTGGCCCTTGCCAACAGGCTCTGCTTTGAGCAGAGTATTAGGCATGTGTGTGTTTACAGGATTGGAGTTTATCTCTATCTTCATTACTGTGAGTAGTGCCACTTGTTTCAATAAATATGTTCATAGCAGTAGGGTTAAGTATATGCATAACTGTTTTCAGGATCAGGGTCTGTATATATGACTTGTTTTTCTGCCCCTGGAGAATCATCCCCCTGTTGACATTACTAAGTTATTGGTCTGGATAGTTGACATAGACATACTAGGCCATATTGCTTTCTCCCATGGTAAATCCAAAGCTAGAACCCATGAGATCCTCCTTGCAGAGTTTTCCTATGCTGTTCCATGTTGGCAGGGATAATTTAAGTGCATGTTGGAGATCTCAACACCTCCCACCATGGATCCCATAAGTGTCAATTAAGGGAAACACTTAAACAGGCCCTTAACACCAAGAAAGTGCTTAAGTCCTGTTGACTTCAAAATGACCTAAACATATGGTTGAAGTTAAATACATGCTAAAATGTTTCCCTGAATCAGGGCCAAGAGCCTGATCCATAGCCCACAGAAGCTGGTGAAAAGGCTACCACCAGGGTTCAGAAAAGGGAAGGTTTAAGGGGCTGAGCCACCCCCACCTCCATAAGAGACGAGAGCCTCCGGCCTGCCTTGTATCTTTCTAAGCAGCTTAAGGGGCAACAGCTCCTTCTGACTTCTGGCTGCCACCACACCAGGACCACCCGACCACCCCCACCCCAAGAGTCGGAGTGTAATTTGAACCCTGCTCTTAACAAAGGAAGATATGAACCTCTGCTGGGTGCTGAGCATCTATGCCAAGCCCTTCTATTATACTGACTTCTGTAGGGTTGAGACCTTAGGCACAGTTCCTTCAGACATGTGTCTAAGGCTAAAAACAGATGACTGTTTTCTTCCAAGACAAAGAATTTTATTCTGTAATCTTATAGACACACCGGTTTATTGTCCCAGTTCAAGTACCTGTGAAATATCCAAATTTTGCCCTGGGATAGTCTAAGTTAATTCAAAGTAATTACCATTCAAGCTGTGTATGTAAATGATCGTCCTGGTCTCCTGGTCTGTTTTGATACAAGTCAGAACCTGGGACAATCAGCCCCAGATTAAACTGATCATCTGTTTTTAGCCTAAATGTAGTTTCTTAATCAGTCAGACCTGTTCATGTTCTGAAAGGTAAGCCCATATGTAAGTATTTATAGACTCAAAGCCCAAACTTGCTCCTGGTTGTTGAAATCCTTAATTGTTTTTAATCCCATTTAATAAACTTAATCAGTTTTTTAAAATCTTGGATTATTGATAGAGTCATCAATAATCTTCACTGCACAAATTACAATAGCTATTTCTTCGGGGATGTTAAATTTAGAAGTAAATATAGTTTTAATTGGACCATGTGTATTTATTCCCATACATAACATGAGAGAGTCAAATATTGTTCTGCCTTCCATGCATTATTTTGTAAGAGCTCCTATAGTATTAAAAGACTGTCTGCTTTGATATGTCTTTCAGCAGGGTTTGAATGAAATTGCCTTTTTCAGTAAAATGAGTGTTTCTCCAAATTTCAGACCATATGAGATCTTGAACTGCACCTGACAACAATGTGGCCTTCTTGTGAGTTTGCTTCCTTTTTTAAAATTGTTTCCTACTTGAGTAAAAACAACAGAAAACAAAATTGGCTCATTATTGTGATAAAAGCTTGCTTTTACTTATAACATGTTGCTGTAAAACCTTTTTCTGCTAACAGTGCAGTATGTGAAATGACTCTATTTTTTTAAAAAGTTTCTAACATAGGACTATAAAATGCAGCCTCCACTCATTTATTAAAAAAAAGAGGCATCAGCCCACACATAATACCTTCTGAAGTGAAAGGATTAGCCTCTAATTAACAAAGCTAATGTCACTCTCTAATACTGATTATTAACACTGAGGTGCCCTGCTTCTAAAGAGGGGAAAACTATTAGGGAA